GTGATGATTGTATTAGCTTGGAGATTAAAGTTGTTCAAAAACAAATAACGGATTCAGATTCTCTATCCCAGAATGCCTCTGGTTACAAATTTTCAGAGCTACAACTAACATAGATTGTCCGAAACGGCAGCTAAGCTAAAAATGGCTTTTTCATGAATGTGTTAATGAAAAGAAAAGCCAAGCCAGAATTCTTTATGAAATTAAGAATCTAAAACAGAACTACAATAAGCTTTAGAAATTCTTTAAGGCTTTGGTCGTCTTTGACGCCAAAATCAGTCAGAAAGATCAGAATTCTGTCAAAAAAGGCAGTTCTTATTGCAGTTGCAGTTCAAGTGATAGCTACATAACCAGTTCTATTGCTTGACTAAAGAATCTTGTATTCAATTCAACGATTAAAACTCCCAATCCCGTGAAGACCTTCAAATTGTTTATCGGTACCATTTAGAGGCATCCCCATGAGAAAAGAGGCGTTCCTTTCAACGACCATTTAGGGCTGTTGTTGTCAGCGATTGTCTCTCTTTTCCCCTTTCCCATTCATTCAAAGCCTCAGTTAGTTGCTGTCCTCGACGAATTAGCATAATTTCTGCCGGGTGGTAACTGGGTGAGGTTGATCGCGGTGACAAGTGGTACATGAGAGTTGCGATCGGGATGGTGATAGGGGAAGGGTTGGAGTTGGGTGATGAAGTTTGGATTCAAGGATGGGAAATAGACTCTAACTCATAGCAGCCTTTAATCTGTAAAATTGTTTTATCATTGCTACTTAAAAATTGCTGTAAAAGCCAGTAATGGTTTGTTGGCATTTCGGTGAAAAAGTCCTGCTTTAAGAAGCCGGATTAACATTGAATTTTGTTGCTTATTAGAGCTACGTATTGTCCGACATAGAATCCGAACCTAGATATTATAATTTATATCGTAGCCGATTTTGAATCAAATTTTTGGCAAACTTTTCTAGTAGAACCACTCTTTAATGTATAAAGACAATTTTATATAATTTTCTAGAGGATTAATATATTATTATTATTATTTCATTTTGTAGAGTCTTCAATTCTTCGTCGATTCGTACGAAATTTGTGTGTTTAGGTTAAAAATAGCGGGCGCTACAACGTTTCATTCAAAATCGGCCAAAATTCAGCTGATTATGAATGATTAAAGTCTAGGCGCGTCCAATCATCAAGTGTTTAGTATCATTTGACGCATAATCATTGATAATTATGTTAAATTTTTCAAATTAGAAAGATTGGATAAAAGGAAAAGGATTTAGAGCTGTTTGTTTGAGAGAAAACTTTGAAGCTCCATAAAAGTTTCTCTTTTTCTCCAATCTTTCTAATTTAAAAAATTTAACATGATTATCAATGGTTCTGCGTCAAATGAGATTAAATATTTAATGGTTGGACGACCCACTCGTTAAAAATTGGCTGAATTTCAATACCGGCTATGATATCTACATGGCAAGACTTGCCAACTGCTAAGACTTGCTAAGCGAAGACAGACAAATCCTAGTCAACGTTGATTTGAGTGTAATCGTACAATAACTTTCCAACTATTTTCTAACTCATAAAATTTGAAAGCTTTTCAAGGAGTGAGTTTAGATTCTTTTGTGAGGCAAGCATATGGTTTAGTGGATGGCGCAAGTGCGCAACTCGGATCAGAGAAAGGGATCTTTTTCTGGCAGATAGAGAGAAAGAGAGAGAGAGAGAAACATGTGTTCCGCACTCAACTACTCAAAAATCTGGACAAGACAACTGCTTTGCATAAACGATTTGAAGTATTGACTTTTTTGAAACCTTCAAAGCGATAGGAAATGGGAAAAATGGCTTAGGCTTAGGCTTAGGCTTGGGCTTAGGCTTAGGCTTGGACTTAGTGCGAAGGCTAGCGGTTAGCGCCTCGCACTAAGTCTATTTGGGTTTGGGCTGAACCCTTAGGCTTAGGCTTAGGCTAATTTGAGTCCTAACTTGAGCTAAAGCTTACGAATCCAAAACCTGACACCAAAACTGAAACCAAAACCAAAACCGAATACCAATCGTAGCTTCACTAACTAGAGAAGGCCGCCAGGTGCCGGTGGAGACAAAATTTTAAAACAAAGTCAGCTCCATCTTATAGAATCGACTACGGTGATTTCGAATCTGTTTTCAGTTTTTGCCCACGAGGCCTGTAACTCGAGATATCTGAGTTACAAGTTGCAGACCTCTACTTAAGCATTTTTCGCAACGGGACCAACTAGTGGTCCCGTTGAACTGAAGTTGGTAAATCGTCAAAGCTGCCGCCGACGCCGACGACGAAGCTGAAAGTCCAAAGCACCCAAGTTCGATCCCAGATTGCAGCTATTTTAAAAGAAAACCAATTTTCAGCCAATCCAAATCTTCGCCCTACCTCTTACTCCATAACTTTACTACAAAAAATATCCAAAACTTTTCGAAAAGATCAAAAACGCATAAATCTCTCTAAATCTCTGTCTAGTCATAACAAAAAGAGGTTTTTTTTGTAAATTCTCTCTATTTTTTTTGTTCTCCAGTGCTCCGTAACGTTTACGACCTGGATAAATGACACGTAAAATCGTTGAAAGAGGAGAAAAGGGGGGAAATCTGTTGTGCCAATACCAGCAGAATTTATTCTCGAGTATAAAAATTAATCCGGATACGAGGGATAGCAGTTGGGTGGGAAAATAATCCAAGAAAATTGGAATTTTTTATGGAACTTGTAACTGTCAATGATTAGAGAAAGAGAATTTGCAAAAAAGCCAAGTTTTGCAGAGAATTTGCAAACAAGGGACTATAGCTTGAGAAACGTATTTTTAATAGCTCTGTTAAGGAAATTATCTGACTTGCCAACGAAAAAGTTGGCCAATTTTAGCATTCCTTTTGGATTGTGGAGCATTTGAGACGCGCCCCTTTGCCAATCCAACTTTGAGCTCAAATATCTTGGGGTTGGGCTGTCCATTTGCAATATTCTTTGTATCATTGGATTCTTCAAGTCTTTCTCTGTCGATTGGTACAACAACTATTTAAATTGAACAGCCCAACACCAAGATATTAGAGCTCAAAGTTAGATTGCTAATGGCAAAAGGGCTTAGCGCATCAAATGTTCGATAACGTTCCTGTTACATAAATTTTGGTGAATTCACGTTTTTTGCCTCTTGTATAAGATTCTAATGTTTTATCCACCCCATAAACACTCTACTAGACGGGTCAAATACTATTTGATCAGAATATAGGTCTCTTCTATGTATCTGGGTTAGTGGGATGGGGGGATATTTGCCCCTTTAGCCTCTCTATTCTTTGCCCTTGCCCTCATTGGTATCAAAGGGATCGAGAACAGGGGTCCTTTTGAGGTGAAAACATTGTTTAGGTAAACAGTTTTGGATTTAGAAAGAACGGATGGGTTAGTTGGGGTTTTTGGGTAACAAATAACAAATAACAATGGTTAATAAACGACTCGCAAGCTACGACTAACTAGGGTAAGGCAAAGGGAACTAGAACTAGGTTCAGGTTCATTTGAACTAGGTTCAGGTTCATGTGAACTAGGTTCAGGTTCATTTGAACTAGGTTCAGGTTCATGTGAACTAGGTTCAGGTTCATGTGAACTAGCGAAGGGAATTCAGGTTCAGAATTCGGATAAGTAAGCTGGGTAAGTTAACAACTAGAATTCAGCTTAACGTAGTGTTATTTTAGTTCTGAATTTTGCTATTTAGTACCTAAATTTGTAAGCAGTTTCAGTTCTTCGTTTTTCCAAAGTTTCAACGTTTTTTGATTGACGAAAGCATTTGTAGATCGGACTTAGATTTCTAAGTTACCAGTTGAACTTAGCATTCAGTTTTCTTCTTTCTTTCCTTCCTTTCTTCCTCCTTGTCTTTCCCTCTTTCTCTTGGCAAGTTAAGGTACCGGATAGCTGGGTGGTTAGAGTAAAAGAAAAGCAAAAGGCCGAGGGTTCAAGCCTTTCTCCTTTTTCTTCCAAATCCACTTTTTCTTGCCAATTCCTTCACTTCTTTATTTCTTTTTCACTGCCAATTCTTCATTCAGTGTCTAAAATTAAACTATTAAGACTATTCTTGATTCTTCATTTTGATTGACCGTTCTAGACCCATTTGTATGTCATCTTTTTGAGTTTCTTTCATCAAATGTTTTATCAAATCCTAGATCAACTCCCCATTTAGTCGTAAAGAGAGTGCGGTAAATATGCGAGAATATAAGGAAACCGATGGAGGGAAAGGCATGTGGTGATCGAAAGGAGGAAAAGGAGAGATCTCCAAGGAGGAGAGAGCTCGTCAAATGCTTTGAATGACAACCCAGCTTTCTGGAAAGCTTTCTGGAAGGGCGGCTAGAGAAGAGGGGAATCCGGCTTTCCCGCTTTTCTCACTCTGGATACATATGTTCACGAAGCATAATAATAGAAATAAAGAGATATTTATAGGCTTTTGTATCAAGAAATCAATAAAGCTAAAGAATTTGAGCTATAAAGCTACAGAATTTGAGCTATAAAGCTCCCTAATTTCCAAGTTGCTCACGGCTTTACTTCTAGAGTTTTACTCCAACTTTTTCTTCAATTTTCTTCAATTTTCATCAAAAACTTCTATATTTCTCAAAGCTTTTAAACTCTAGTTAGCTATTTTTATCATCAATTCTCTTTTCAACACTTTTAGCATCTGTTTTCCAATAAGTTGTAGTCGGTGAAAATGGGAAATCCTAAAAACACACAAGACTTCCGAAAAAATAGCGTCTTTAGTCGAAAGGGACTAATCTGTGAGGCGAAAATCACTTGAAAATGATAAAAAAAAGCAAGAAAAGATTGTGAAAAGTGAAAAGAGAAATGTTTTAGATGGATTGACAAGCAAGGTGATGGAAGAGATTTGTGAAAAGGAGGCGAGGAGATTGATTGGGAATCGAGAGTGATTGACTAAGTAAAATGGAGGAAATTTTTAAGAAATAAAAAGAAAAATCTTGTATAAAAGCCGGTAAAACTTTCAAAAATGCGCAAAAAATGAAAATGTAAATGAATCAACTCACCCAATCTCAGCGTCCACGCCGCGTGATGGAGCAGCAGCAAAATGAGTAGTGTTGTCACCCGCATTTCATCTGAAAACGAACAATGATTAGGTAAAGCCTAAAATTAGCCGAAATACAATTTTGTTTTCAAGCAAAGATCAAAAATATACCGTAAATACTGTAATAGTACCCCACCCACTCGTACAGTTGCGTAGTCGCAAAAGCTATTTAGTATTTCATTTTTTCAAAGCGCCCGTACTTTCAAAAAATGTGTCTTTGGTATCAAAAAATGGCTGAAATTCAGGGCTATTTTTTGATACCTAAGCGCGCATTGTAGCATAAACCAGTGTCGAGAAAAACGCGTCCAAAGCTAGACTACGCAACACTCCGCACCGTCATTATGGGGATGGGGTACTACTACAGTGTTTACGGTAGGTTAAAATAAAGGATAAATATTCAAAATTATACCCAACATCGTGATAAAGTTAGAGTCAAACTTTAGGCACTAACTTTAAGTACTTTAAGTACTTTAAGTCCTTTAAGTACTCAAAGTTGCACTTTCTTTTTCGCCATGCATTGTCTTAATAGATCAAAAAACGTTTAGAACAAAAATATATGAAAAATGAATTACAGAATAGCTTCAGGATAGATAAATCATGGTAAACAAACTCAAAAACAAACTTTTACCAATATAAGAAACGTTTTGGGAAGGAGAGAAGTGAGTGTTGAATATGCATGTTCGTTTTGTTGCCCTCTTCTCCCACCCAATCTTTCTTTCCCCCTTCATCGCTTGGATGGGGTCGATCTTTGACAAAAAGGGATGAATCTTTGCTTTGGGATTGCTTTGAAATCAAAGCGATCGGAAGGGGAAATGAATGGGGTGAAAATGGGAATTGGAAATGGGTTTTCCTTTAGGGTTCAGGTGCAAAATTCACAAATCAAGTGATAGGCTTGGATGGATTGATTCTTGAGCGATCCAGGATTATTATTATACCGTAAATACTGTAATAGTACCCCGCCGCCCTCGTACAGTCGCGTAGTCGCAAAAGCTATTTAGTATTTCATTTTTTCAAAGGGCCCGTACTTTCAAAAAATGCGTTTTTAGTATCAAAAAATAGCCCTGAATCTCAGCTATTTTTTGATACCTAAGCGCGCATTGTAGCTTAAACCAGTGTCGAGAAAAACGCGTCCAAAGCTAGACTACGCAACGCTCCGCACCGTCATTATGGGGGTGGGGTACTATTACAATATTTACGGTATCATTATTAACCCAGGATTATTATCCAGGAAATAAAAGAATGGTTTGTTATTCACTATATTATGTTTTCAGATAAATTGAATTGTTTTTTTGTAAACTATTATCCAAAAACGATTATCGATGAGCGAGGAAAGGTCAAACAACGAGAAAACTGAGAAAATCGATAAGCCAATGCATTTTTTTTGACAAGTAAAGGTTAATAGAAAAAAAGTAATATGAAAAAACACAATAATAAAGTGAATCGAATTCTATTTGATGTCAAATTGTGAACCAAATTCCATAAATTCAATATTTTTCTTTGATTTCACGATAAAAAACTTAAAATAATAGTTTTGGGAAAGGAAAAAAAGACAAACAAATCCAAAATTCAATGTAATTCAATGTTCAAATGTAATTTAAATTTAAATTAAAAGAAAACAGCTGAATGGGAAAAATTTGCGAATTTGCGAATGAACACTTTGATGGATTGGGGGATTTGAAAATGGGAAAAGAGGTGAAAAGGGGAAAAATGGGCAAAGAAGTAGACTGATGAGTGAAAGGAAAGAGTCACCCTTCCAAAAAAGCGAACGAAAAATGGCAGTGCCAAGAAAGGAACGCCGATTTTTCGTGATCTTCAGTTTAAAGGTCGAAAATGGCAAATCACCCTAGCTTTTTTCATTTTGCAAATATTTGGGCCTTGAAAAAGTCTTTGAAATTGAAGAAAAGTTTATTGGATTTGTTTCTATTCTAACAAAGGTTTGAAAATAGGTTTCTTCATTCAAAAGTTGTCCATTCTTCATTAGAAAATGGCAAATCAAAAGCAAAATTTCCATACATTTTTCGATGGTAAACAAAATTTTAGCTCTTAAAATAATTTGACAAAGATAGACGACTCGAGTAGGAATCGAACCCTCGACCATCCGGTTCCATCCGGCTGGCGCTCTACCGACTGAGCCATAGGCGCTTTATTTGGGAGTGAGAAAGAAGAGGGGAAAAGATACAAAGAGCAACAAGTTGTCAACCGAATCCAAGTTCTTTGGACTCGAGCAGGAATCGAACCCTCGACCATCCGGTTCCAGACGGCTGGCGCTCTACTGACTGAGCCATAGACGCCTGTTTTTCCCAAAGAGAAAGAAGAGGGAAAAAGATACAAAGACCAAGTTGTCAACCAAATCCAAATTCTTTGGACTCGAGCGGGAATTGAAGCCTCTATCTTTCGCTTCCAGACGCCTGGCACTCTACCTACTGAGCCATAGACGCTATTTTTTACCAGCGAGAAAGAAGAGGGAAAAAGAGCCAAGAGAAAGTTATCACTCAAATCCAAATTCCTCGGACTCGAGCAGGAATCGAACCCCCGACCTTTCGCTTCCAGACGGCTGGCACTCTACCGACTGAGCCATAGGCGCTTGTTTTTCCCAGCGAGAAAGAAGACAGAAAAGACAAGAGAAAGAGCAAGTTGTCATCCAAATCCTTATCCAAAATAATGTAGAAAACCAACTTTCTAAAGCTTATCAGCTTTCAAAACCTAAAGCTAAGGCTAAAGCTTTCAAAAGCGAAAGCTAATGCTTTATAAAGCAGAAAAATCAAGCTATATCAACACATTTGCCATCAATATTGGCCATCATTTGCGATCCCTTAATACATTTCCCTACTTTACCTATTTTCCTATTTTCAAGCCTCTTTTCCATAAAACTCTCAACTCACAAACAACTCAACTCTTCTTATCTAACCGCGAGATCTCAGCAAAATTCAAAGAGTTTTCTTTGGGTTTTTGCTATCTTTAAATCTGTTTGAGTAAAGAATTCAATTGAAAAAGAGCTCAGCTATTGTTTTTTGAGAAGAAAAACAAGAAGACGAAGAAGACGAAGAAAAAAAAATGCTTTGTTCTCTTGACAATGATAGAAGAAATTTGGAAAGGGTCAAAGCTTTCCAAAAGAATAAAATTTGGGCAAAAAATTGCTAAAAAACAATTGCTTGTTTTGGAAAAGTAATTTAATCTTCGAATCCTCAAAAATATTTTTGGAAGTAGTAGTGAGAAGAGTGAAATTTTCGGCCCTATATTTGTTTTAGCCATTTTTATGAAAGATTTTTGTCAAACAGAGAAAAGAGAGGGAACATTTTGCAGTGTACAACTTTTTGAGAATAAGTTTGATGCAAAAATAACGATAATTATTCATTTTTAGATCAATAGAACGAAAATTAGGCGTTTGATTGGATGAATAAGCATTCTAGGACAGAAGAATGGAATGATCTGAGCTAAATGGTTCGTTAGATCTGTAACAATCATCAGGACCAAGAAATGGTGATTGGCAAGACCGTTGCAAGACCAAGAATCAGTTGTGGTTTCACACTTGATCATCAAGAAGCTTTGATCATCAAGAAGCGTTGGTCATTTAGAAGCCTTGATCATCAGGAAACCTTGATCATCAAGAAGCTTTGATCATCAGGAAGCCTTGATCATCAGGAAGCTTTGATCATTAAGAAGCCTTGATCATCAGGAAGCCTTGGTCATTTAGAATCCTTGATCATCAGGAAGCCTTGATCACCAATTTCTTTATAGGCAATGATGCTAAAAGCTAAAATTAGGTCGACAAGCCTATTCATATCAGATAGAAAAATAGGATTAGCTAGAACAGAAGCTGAAGAAGAAAAGAATTGATAAGAAAGCTTTGCCATAGTCTGCTTGAAGTCTTTGATCTACTGAAAGAAAAGCGAAAGATAGTTTGCAAGTAAAATGGGAATATTTGGTTTGAGGAAAGGTAGGAAAGTTTCAAAATTGTTAAAATGCTCAATGTTTCAATGTTAAAACCTGTTATTTTCAGCAACACTTGTCCAGGCACAGGTTTAGTTGTGTGTGCGGTGTTGTGCAAGGTAAACCCAAGTTTGCCTCAACAATTGGAAACAAATGAATGAAATTGCAAATTTGAATGACTTCAAATTGGCATTAGACAATCTTGAAAAGGGATAATATTGAAAATCTTTACAATATTGACAAATCTCAATGCTAATACCCTCATCCAGGCAAAGCTTGGTGTTTTGGATGGCTGCGAAAAGATGTCAAATGGTCAAGTGCTAGTTTGTGACTCTCGAGAGGAATTGTGGAGAGATTTGAGGCAAAAAAGAAGGAGAACACTTGGATTTCTCACTGACTAAGCAATGGACTAACCATTGGGATAAAGAAAAGAAGGGGGAATGGGTGAAAAGAGGGGTGGAGACATCAAGGCACCGGGGGATTCCCCCTGGAAGAGGCGGGAATAGAGGCGGGGCTTGAGACTGGGCAATTTCCAAATTTCCCTGCGAATCTCGGATCTATGTGTTTAGTTATATAGTTTAATAGTTAGTTTTCTAGTTTCTCAGATATATAGTTTAATTTATAGTTTAATATATAGTTTTTATATAGTTTTTATATAGATTTTATATTTTAGGGTGGTGAAAAAGAAACTGCCGATTTGACGGTAAATTAAAAGAAAAAGATAGTGACATGATCACAATGGAATATTTTCGCAAGATCTCGAGCAGATTGGCATGGATCGGCCTGAATAACGTCCCTCAGCTTGGCTTCGTTCACGACTTCTGGTCTCGAACCGTGCTCGTAATCTTCCAAAGTCTCGTCTCCATCTCGGAATCGTTGAAACCAAGTCTGACACTGCCTGAGAGACAAACTGCCATCTCCGATTGTACAAGTCCGATTGTACAAGTCCAATTGTACAACTCCGATTGTACAAGTCCAATTGTACAAGTCCGATTGTACGAGTCCGATTGTACGAGTCCGATTGTACTAGTCCGATTGTACGAGTCCGATTGTACGAGTCCATTTGTACTAGTCCAATTGTACAAGCCCGATTGTA